CTATACTAGACTATAAAAAATTAAAACTTTAGTTTGGAATTATTTCACTTCACATAGTCACTTAAATCATTGATGTCCTGATGACATTAATGAGTGATGATAGTACGAAATTATTGTAGGAATAGAAACAACTCACAGGATAGTCAGGAATATTGTAAACCTCGTTGCTTGAAGTAGAGCTCGGTGAAGAAGTCCGCACAGTAGAGTAGCTAAGTAGACACATCAGCTTTCAGGAATGTCTTTCTTTTTCTTTCAGGATTTTAGTTCATCAACGAAAATAGGTAAACACGGTAATTATGCACACAGGAACTTGGGACCTTTTTGATCCCTTTGCGCTGCCACCAATACTATACGGGGCTTAGTAAAAGTCTTTTTATAAAATACACAATTTCCCGAAAATTGTAGTACAATTTGGGAAGAACTGATAATGTAGGTACAATAAAATGAAAAATAGCATAAGAAATGGAAATGGAATTCGTACGTGTTTATGCGCCGGGAGTTTGAACGGAACTGAGCTGCTTTCTATGGAGTTTTGGTAATGTTTAAAGAGGAATGCTGACTAGGAGAACTGGTGGGGTTGAGTCTAGTAATTTAGGTAGTAGGGCTGGGATACACCAGTTCGAAACCCGTACGTGGATGATTATCCATATACACACCTGCATACGTAGGATGCAGAGAATTTCCCTCAGTGTTTCGAAATTGGCAAAAACATACACATGACGGATTGTGAATTTTAGAGCATGTTCACATGACATGAGCGTTCAACGGGTAACTTACCGAACTTTGTACGTAAATCGCTGTAGGCGTTCACATCTACCGTGGTCAAATAACCGATTTCTTAAATTCTCTTTTAAAAACAGTTAGAATTAGTTAACGTGTTCGACTTACCCTAACGATGCAAAGCTGAAGTAGCATTAAACAGTTTCAATATTCTGAAAACGGGTTATGGTTTCTATGATATCTGAAAAAGTTATTTTGTCACTGAGCCGCGTTTTAGTCAGTGGCCGGCAGACACGCGCGCGGCCGCCGCGCGCTCGACGCTGCCGCCGAAAGGCTTGGGAAGAACTTGTTCTTATATTCTGTGATGTGATGTTGAGATGAAATTTGGGTTCTTATTGTCTGAGTTTAGGATACAAAGTTATGAAGTGCCTTTCACTGAGCTTGGATAATCAAATAGGATGGACCCAATGTTTCCGTCTCCTGTTGCGTTGCTGTCTCTGTCTTCGATATAAAATACACAAACACATAGCTGTTTGTTTCCATGTCCATCTTCGACTAATACCGAACTTACACTGAAACAGTGGCAGCGCGCACTCAACACCCGAGAAGCGCCCGCCATGTGTACACTATTCAAAAACCAACGCGCGTTGAACGCTTATCATGTGAACATATCCTTAAACTGAAGTGTGAAGCTGTACCTGTACTAATAAATAATACTTCTTCAAACTGTACCTTATAATTTAACAGTATCAAAATAGTTTGCTGTTATTTTTAACCCTATCATGTGCTTATCTATCACATTCCGGTTTGTATTTCCTAGTGATTGCCTCGATGCACACACATTTTAATTCCAATTGATCTTGATGACCTCAAGGTTTGACTTACATAATAATTGCTTGCTCGAGGGTTTGTGGGTAGCATGCAGGTATTGCATATGTAATTACTTTATCTGATTTTATACAGGCTAAAAATAAATAAATATTGTATGTGTGTATATTTACGTTAAATATTTTTCGCGTTTATAATACTTATGTAAGTGGTATCTTTTATTTATTTATTTACTACAAATAGACAGTACCTATAGCGATGGGCTCCCCGGTATCTCCCGTTGTTGCCGATATTTTCATGGAAGACTTCGAGGAGCGAGTTTTACCCATGGCCCCAGCTAGGCCGAAGATTTTCAAACGGTACGTTGATGATACTTTCACAATATTACCTAAAGATAGCATACCTTCTTTCTTGGACCATCTTAATTCTTTTAGTACTAAGATCCAATTTACTATGGAACAAGGGAATTGTGGTACTTTAGCTTTCTTAGATGTTTTAATTAAAAGAAATCCTAATTACACCTTAGGCCATACTGTATTTCGAAAGAAAACCCATACAGATAGGTATCTCAATGGTAATTCCCATCACCATCCTAGCCAGTTAGCTACCGTGGGCAAATCTTTGTTTCAGAGAGCATAAGGTGTCGACAGTAACCATCTGGCAGAGGAACTTCAGCATATAAAGCAAGTCCTACATGCGAATAAGTCGAAGATTCCACGCCAATGCCGCAGGCCCCATGTGAAACCATCAACAATCGAGCGAAGACCTGCCTTACGTGAGAGGTGTTACAGACAAGATCGGAAGAGTCCTCAGGCGTGCATCTATCAAGACCTATTTCAAGCCCCTGAGGAAGATTTCTCAGTTCCTGAGACCCGTGAAATGTAACATCCCCTTACAGGATACAGGAGTTTACAAGCTTGGCTGTGAGTGCGGTCTCTCTTATATTGGACAAACAAAGCGAAGTATTTGTACCCGCGTCAAAGAACATATAGCTGATGTCAAACACCATCGCGTAAACAAGTCTGCAGTCTGCGAGCATGTCATGGATAAGCCTACACATTCAATGAAGTTTGACAAACCCCAGGTCCTTGCAAAAGAAGTCCGTTATCTATCCAGGATGCTGCGAGAGGCCATTGAAATTAAAAAACATCCTAACTTCAACAGGGAAGATGGTTGCTCCGTACCACCAGTTTGGGATCCAGTATTTCCTCTAATGAAAAATCCCAAACAGACATAAGACTGAGTGCTAATTAATATGTTTTAGTTTATTCTAATTTCTATTAATAATTAATAATAAATTGAACTTAATAAAAATTCATTCAATAAAATAATTTGTAAAACTTAATGTAGCGTAAATTGGAATGTTTTCTTTGTAAAATTAAAAATAAGGTATTTAATTAGTAACTATTGTAACTATAGTGAAAAAATAGGGTGGTTTGCATTATTTATATTAGACATAACTGGTTGAAGACTGTACCACCTCAGTCACCCGTGACCATGGGGCCTGTAAAGGGCCCGAAACGTCGATTTGTTTGAAAAAACAAATATACGCGATTTAAATCCGGAAAAATAGTTTCATTTCTTATTTTTTATTATTTATTTTCTGTTTACATGCTAAGTTTATTATTTTTCTCCTTCCTTTTTACCTTTGTGCTCACTGCCTTGGGTTAGCTGAAAGAGATCTCTTTTAACTAATATAAGATGAGTCCACCTTTGCTCACTTTTTCTATAATTAAGTATTCTGATGTATTTTTGGTGCAATAAAGAATATATATAAATTAGACTTTTTACGTGTGCCTCTCAAAGTCTCTCAAACTAGGGAATTCATTGTAGCACGAATTCAGAGCAATGGAATTCATTCTGGAACGTAACCCAGACAATTGTAATAGGGTCCACATATAATTAAGCTGCCAAAACGGTTCAAATTTGAAAGTTTCAGATGCAAAAACCTAGAGGTTTTGGGGTGCATAACGTGGGGATGGGAGCCTCCCCGCACGACGTACTGTACCACTTTTCATTAAAACTATATATAAAGCGCCAATATATAAAACACATAAGAACTTTAAAATTAGATTTCATTTCATTCAGTGTTTCTTGAGTTTGACAAAGTTACATAATTTTTTTTGTTATCGCACAAATATAATTTGTTTTAGAAAAATAGCTAATTGATCGGTTCACGACATTTTAGTTTGCGTATCAATAGACTTATCTATGGTTAAGGTTTAACCTTCTAAAGGTCGAATTTCTCTCACACGTTACCATATTGAATAGGTATACCAAATTTTGGCAATGCGATTCCGAAACAAGTAATTTCCACGGCGGGACCCGCGTATAAAGTCGGTCCCCATTCCAGATGTTTTCTTTTAATTGCTATTTGTCGTGTTAGGGTCGTATTTCCAGTGCTTGAAATCATACTCAAGTCTGCTCAAATCCTGACTTGAGCATTGAGTAGAGTTCTAGAATACGACCTTTATTTCAGTGATCCGTTTATCCATTTGTTGTTTCTACTAGTCACCTATCACAAACACGAATATCTTTTTCAACACACACGAACACGGTTCCACTTTTTCATTAGCGCGATGACTGTTTTGGTAAAAAATTATAACATAGAAATATCTTACAGCAGCCGACGAGTGCCAGACGTGAGTTTGGTTGCATTTGCGAACATGTTTCGAATAATTATCGCATTTTTTAAATAATAACGTTAACTTCATTTATTATTAATAAGTTTCACTTGTCGTTTATTCCTATCAGTCATACTAAAATTTATTTGAGGTAAAACAAAACATAAAACAAAAAATGCATTATGGATATCCAATCCGGTAATTAGTCAAACGGAATGCTTTCGGGAATAATATAGAAACGATTAAGTTGTCAATGCGTCAAAATAGGGAAACTTTAAATGGTGTAATAAAATAAATCGTAACATGTTTTCGGGCAAATGAAATAAAATCTGTGCAATAAAAGGCAAACGATTTTCGGAGAACTGTTAATCATGTTTCCAACTTGATACCTACCTACTATTATGAACCTTTTTTTAATAAATATTGTGAAAACATCGCTTTTAAGGTACTGCTCGTTCACTGTGCGGACTTCCCTGAGAGGAACGTTTGTACGTACGAAAAATGCACACTCCTTCAACTTTTACATTCGTGATATTGATTTCTTCCAAAGTAGGTATATTCCAGGAGTCTGCCGCGTTGTAATTACCTTATCACATAACTGTTTATTATTTATTATACCGGTAGACATTACTATTATATTTTTATGTTTATTTACGTAGTTTTTACCGATTAGTTTTATACACGTTAATTACTAAAATCATTTGCGTTGTATGAAATTTAAAATGTTCCCAAGGAATTAACAAAAATCATAATCAAATAAATACCAACAAATATGTCGCAATAAAGAAAATAATAATGTAAGTTATAGGTAGGTGTGTAGGTAGGTACCTGTGTGGCGTATGCGCGGCGAGGAACACGTAGTTGGTGCCGTAAAGACCTGTTAGCATCACCGGTAGCGCCAGCATCAGCGCCAGCTGCGCCTGCCACCGCCCCCAGCCGCCCGCTGCGCTTTCGACGCTGCTATCGCACTCCTGACCTCCTGACATGTTGCTGCTTTACTAGCACTTCAATCACCGGCTTGATTTCACGTAACAGATAACACGATATTAATCCGACAAATATTCAGAAGAGTTAAAGGGTCAGCTGAATATCGAAGGAGAAAGAATCGGACACTCGAAATTTTAGAAACAGAAAACGCTGGTTGAGCTGTTTTTTTATTTTACATTCTTTGCGAGTATAGTTGTTCGAAATGGAAAGTGATAGAGATTATATTGGTCGGATGCGGCGGTTACATAGCTTATCGTTTAACTGATTTCGGATTGCGTGTGTTCGCGCTTGGAACTGAAAGCGTCGTGTTTGTCGGAGCGCCGGCGCGGGAGTGGCGTGTGGTGTGGCGCGCAGGACCTCGCAGCAGCAGAAGCCGCGTGGCAGCAGCGGCGCGAGCGGCGACCGCGCCTTAGTTGCCTGAGATAAAGACCAGATTCTCCGGAAAACCCGTCGCTGCACCTATGGCGTATCGCGGAAGCTTTGTACTCACGCACGTGCGGCGTGCGGCTCCTCGCCCCGCGACGTTCGCGTCGGCCGCGGCCAAAATAACTTACGAGTTCGCGTGTCTACAATCGTATAATATGTATCGCTCTTTTGGTCTTAGGAACTTATCTTACTTAAATAAAAATAACAACATTCCTGATTTTTTTTTCTTCAATCCGAGGGCAATTAGAAAGATTGTATGCCCACTTAGTACCTACATACTGACTGATAAATTATTCTCGTCTCAATGCACCCAGCGTCTAAATAGGAAGTGGCAATAATGATTAATACATTTTAAGACTTTGTAACACACATAAATCAGAGACTACTGTTAAATAGCACGATATCAGCACACAGCACAAGATTTTGATGACTCATCACAATATTTGTACAATGTTTGCACCACCTTCCTGCTTAATTATCATCTATACATCTATAAGGGTGGACATATATATATATATGTACACGCTTAATAAGACTAAGTGAGTGTGGCTTTTAAGACAATACGTTGATTTTGCCTTTACTTTATACTATTAAAAATATAATACTTGCCAATGATAAACTGTCAACGGTGCCACGACTGCTTCACCGCCGATCTACTCGTACATGTATGTAGGTATTTATTGTCGTGTAAATGGTAGAAAAGGGACCAAAACGAATCAAAGGGCAATCATAAACAATTTGTAAGGAATGAAAAACGAATTATGAAAATCAAAAACTAGTCGCAGTTCCACAATACTTTGTACTTACAAAAAATTATTGCTAATTATTATCACTGCAGTACCGAAGAGTATTTCTCCAAAAATATTCCTTTTGAAAAAGGCAGTTCAGGGAAGTACTGCCACCTTATCTATTTCTGCCGCTAAGCAGTAATGTATTACTGCATTCCGGTTTCTAAGGGTAAGGGTGCTGGTCAAATTACAGGCTCTTGTCAATTTATGTGTTACGGTGACGGGCACAGTGGCACTGCAAGTGTTATGGATAGGCGTGTCGCTCGCCACCAGGTGCACGACTTGTTCGTCACGTCACTTGATATCATAAAAAAATCCATATATATTGCATGTGATATCATATTACATTTTATGACCTACAGATTCGGACTTAATTAGCGGTTTCCTAACGTAGAGAAGTCCGCAAACAGAAGTTGTGAGTCACTAACGTACACAGCGGCAAAAGCCGCGGCGCAAGCCTTGGCGGGGCGGGGCGTTACGCTATCAACTAGAACTCTTTCTACTAAAGACAACCTATTGGAATGTTGTTCAATATCTATTTACACTTGGACAAGCATTGCTATAATTCACTTTCGTTTTTTGTTTAGTGATTGTTTTTTTCGTAAAATGCGAAGCAGTCTAAAAGTCGTAGTTCAATTTGACTCGAAACGGTTGTATTATCCAGTGTATAGTGTATATAACACAATTCCATTCATCTATCCATTCTTTGTTGAAGCCAGTCCTTTAGCCTAAAGGTCAACCCTTCTAAATCGTAATGCATTATTACTGATAGCGCTTGGTTTGCGTCTCGTGCTGATCTGGACGCATTACCTCCTGTGGTTTTTCAATTCCTTATTTGGACATAGTCAGGAACTTGGAGGTCATTGTTGATCGGAGTCTGACTTGGATGTCGGATGTTGCCGAGGTTAGTAGGGAGGTGTTTGGTGCGCATTTTACACTGAGAAGGCACGAAACTTTTTGCCGACTAAGACAAAGATGACTCTATTGCTTAGAGCATTCTCCATCCAATGGTGGACTATGCAGATCGATTGATTTGTCAGTCACCGCTCAACAAATTGGAACTTCTCCAAAATATGTTTAGTTTAGTTTAGTTTATTTGTCTCAACAGTATAAATTTCATACAAATACAATTACATGTCACTTTATACTATTCTTCCAAAAGTGAGCGGCAGTTTACAAAATAATGGGAATAATAATTGTACATGTAATAGTAAGTCATAGTACACACTAGTGTACGTGTACAAGTACTGACCACGTCAGTTGTACTGTATTCAAGAAATGTTAATATGAATTCTTAATAATATTTTTAATATGTGTGTAAGGTTCGTCTTCGAATTACTTAAATTTGGCCACGTCTCCCAATCACGCGCACAACTTAAATGGCTGCCCATCTTCACATCCTTTCCCTTCTGTACTCGATTTTATATAACCTCTCCTCATCTTAAAGAACGCTTTACTTATCACTCTTTTACACTTTTGCCGTCCCTTTCGTTCCTCTGATACCCTCATACTAAACAACCCTCCAGTCCTCCCATACCTCCAACTCTTTTACTGTGTCTGCGGTCAGACTGTGGAATACCCTCCCAGAATCTTTTTGACAATCCCCTTCTCTTCATTCCTTCAAACAACCTGGCAAAGATCACTTTCTCAATTCCTAAGTTTCGTTTTTGATCCACTATCCCTTTTTATATCCCCCTCCCGTATTTATATTTTTATTATTTTTTCTCCTTTATTATTTATTAGTACTTTTTATGTATATTTTTTGCATGTCCCAAATTTTTATCCTAAGGTTACCTGGAAGAAATTGCTACATAGCAGTGAGGCTGCCTGTTGTACATTAACTTGTATTTTTTTACTTACTTATGTTGCTTTTCTATGCTGTCACTGTAATTTTATATGCTACTTTTAACAGGTGGAGATTGTGGGGTGGCAGGTAGCGGGGGGCAGAGGCGACAACGAAGCAGCCTTTCTCCGTCACATGAAATGACAACGGTGCAGCCACGGCCCGGTGCGCCACTTCAGTCGAACTCGAACGACTCGTTCATAGCAGAGTCTCGTGCGTCGCTGTCTGCGTTGCGCACGCGCGAACTCGTAGCTGACTTCATGTTGGTGTCCTATAATACATTTATCAGGTCAACCTAGCATCTAACTGATAATTGCAATCTTTTTCAAAAATACAAACACGTTATAAAATAAAAAACAGGATAGCAGTGTTCAATCCGAGCGACGAAAACGTTTCGACATTTACAAGGAAATATCGAAATTTTCGAAGTTTTTCGAAATCGAGCAATTATAATAACAAACAAATTATAATAACATTTCTTAACCCTTTTTTTCCTTTTCGTTCCTTAATTCTTGTCTTAGAAAAGCAGTGATAATCAAAACACCCTCGCACACTATACTCAAGGTAGAAACGGCTGGCACAAAAACTCGAAATACGATTTTTGCTTTCAAGTTCTGTTTACACGGAGACGTTCAGTATTGAAAGGCGAGGCGATTATCGCTCACGTGGAAGGGCGATAATCGCGAATGTTTAGACAAGGAAAGTTTTTTATATTCTTTCGATAATCGTATCTTCGAGACGAGAAACTCTCTCCATCTAAACGGGCCTTTACAGATGACATGTTACACATTTCGCGCGGGAATCAGTTGCTTTGACTAATATTGGCAGTGATTGTTTCGAGTGATTACATTGCGTGTATTGCTTTTTCTTTAATCATTCGTAAGCATTTTACATTGAAATACTTTTGTGGCAAATATAGTAATAAACGTTATTGTTATCGAAATTTTACTTAAGTATGGCGTGTCCCTACGTTCGACCAATATCTGATTCCCTAGTACTTACCGGACAAGTATATTTTTACCAATACAAGTTCCCTAGAAGGGACACAATCTTATTTTGACAAAATACTCTATGCTATATAATTTGCTCCATACAGATGCAGCTATAGAGAACAAACAAGGAAACGTCGAGCTGAAAAAAGTGAAATTTTGACTGATTCGCCATACAAACGTTTATAAAAGAAGAATGTAATCGCAAATTTAAAAAAAACGAAAGACATTAAAAATAAAGTAAACAAAAATAAAACAAGTTGAAAAAACAGCTAGAGACGTACTTCTGTGTTGTTTGTTGCGAAGACCACGAAGTCAAAGTCAAAGTCAAAGATTACTCATTCCATAGGTAAAATAAATTTACACTTGAAAACGTCACATTTAAGCTACTGCTCGTTCACTACGCGGACCGCCTTGAGAAGAACGAGCAAAAAACTCTAGGGATTGCTCTTTTCAAATAAACTTAAATGCTATGGAATACACTTTCAATCAAATTTGTGTGGATTCTGGAGCCGTGTCGTCTTTCCATACATCTTTATCTAACACGTAGTCTTCAATTTTGTAATATGATTTTTCGATCAAAATATTTTTAACATAGTTTTTAAACTTAGGAAATGATAAACTTAACATATGCTCCGGAATCTTATTGTAAAAACGTATACAATTCCCCATAAAAGAGTTGTTTACCTTTGTTAAACGAAATCGTGGTACCATGAGCTTCGACTTAGCTCTAAGGTTAATATTATGGATATCTTCTTTCTTATTGAAATTATGTATATTTTTACGGGTATATAAAATATTTGAGTAAATGTACTGTGATGCCACAGTCATGAATCGCTCGTTTTTGCAATACAAATATGGTTTGATTATCTGCCGCTTTACCCCACATGAGAATCCCGTAGGACATTATACTATAGAAGTAACTAAAGTAAACTAGTCTAGCAGTACTAACATCGGTAAGCTCACGTATGGCTGGCCAGAGACGATATATGTGGAAACCATTGAAGTTTACTATCTAAGGTCACTCCCAAGAAGACTGCTTTATTAACAAGGTCTAACTTTTCTCCATTTATTTCTATGCTTGGACTAGTCGATTTTACGTTAGGTAAATCAAATTTAACACATTTTGTCTTCTTGGCACTAAGCAATAAATTGTTAGCATTAAACCAATAAACTACCTTAGAGAGGGTAACATTAATATGGTCATAGTTAATGTCATGTCTGTCTGTTTTAAAAATCAAGGATGTGTCATCAGTAAACAACACAATTTCGCAATGGTCTTTAACAAAGAATGGTAGAAAGAGTGGTAGTTCATTAATATAAATCAGAAATAAGAAAGGTCCAAGTATTGAGCCC